AGCTAATGTGTGGGTTTGTCAAGTTCAATACATAATTTATGTTAGGCTGATGATATCCATACATATCAGCACCAACTGTCCAGCAGTATTATTTATTAATGTAAGATATATGTTTGCATCCATTAGTTTTATGTTGCTCTTGTTGACTCTTCAAGATAGATTCCTCCTCCTTTATAAGAAGCATGATTATCAATAAACTTCAAGTTAGCTGCTGGTGATAATATCAATCGTGATGAGTCATTTAGTGCTAATCCTCCTCCAACTACTCCAGTATTGTTCTTGAATATTAAATTATTCTTAATTGTAACTATTGATGCATCAAGCGTCAATCCTGTTGAGGTACTGTTAGCAACAGTAACATTACTGAGACTAATGGAAGTAGATAAACTGTTTAGTATTTTATTTCCTCCATTTCCAATAAGTTCAGTATCTGTTATATCAATTTGAATTAATCTCAAGAATGTTCCATCAATGAATATTCCTTCATTTATATTGTCATACAGCAAACAAGATCTAATAATTAAGTGATAGTTAATTGTTCCTGGTAAGTACATGTCACTCTTGATATTCAATGCCCTTGGGTTATGATAAAAGTGACAGTCTTCAAATACAATAGTAGAAGTTTTTTCAACACCAGGATAATTGCAGTCAAAAATATTTTGCTTTGATGTGAAGGAAATAGTTATTTCATATCCATAAGTAATAGCATCATGAAATGAAGAATTGGTAACAAGGAAATAAAAAAGACTGTCATCAATTGAATATAAAAAAGGGCTCTTTACGAGATTGCTGAATTCAACATTGTCAATAGTGATTGATAATTTGTATGAAGTACCATGACGCATAGTTAGTTCCATTCTACTGTTATTATTCAAGGTGACATTAGTCAGTATCAATGAGTAATGGGGTAGTTCATTGCTGCATACTGGAAGAGGTTCAAACCAAATGTTGATGATATAGGCAACAAGAACTGGTGACAGTATCTTAACATCAAAAACAGTATCTAATCTGACAGAACTGACTGTATTTGTGATAAAGGAAGAATTAGTTATTGTAACATTGTTGCATGAAATTATATCAACAATGCATTGCCTTATTGTTAAGCTGGAGATATTGATGTGACTGCTGTCATGGATTATAAATCCCTTATTCCTGCAGTTGACATTAGAAAATTGATCCATTCCATGTAGAGTAACATTCTTTGCAGTAATGCTAAAACCATTACTAATAGTGGTTCCAATGAAGTAGAAGATGGTGTTATTGTATTGAGACATATCCCCAACATACACTGATAAAGGATGACAAGGTGACTGAGTAACTGAACTGCAGTCATCAGACACATAATACTGACCAGAGGAGACACTGCAGGAGCTACTGAAGAATAAGAGAACAACCACTAACAGGAGAGACATAGCTACTGTCTGTACTGACTAGCAAATTCACTCATACACTTCACAGTGTGAGAAATGATATTGCTGTAGTTTTTTGCATGCACATATGTCATGCATTCACCTATTTATAGATGGTTGTACTTTCAATCTGATTATGTGGGTGGTTGTTATGGCATAAACATGTTGACACTGATTTAGAAACAGGAAAAGCATACTGTATACTACTGTCTTGACTGACTAGCACATTATTATTAGTGTGAGAGATGATTAGATGATATTGTAATGGGCTGTGGGTAGTTTGTGCATGCTCCTTATGTCATTCACCTATTTAGAGATAGTTGTGTTTTTGGACTATTCCCTCAATCCCTATGGTGCATGAGTTACCAATGATAACCAACTAATTATGCATTGGCTGCTCAACATTCCCTAAATATGGAATTGTAGTATGTAGTTTTTGTGATAGGTTAGCTATTATTCAAATTATCGTAGGTATACAATGTTTCACTGTCTGTAGTTCATTTCTACTACAGTATAGCAGGTTATTTTTGAGAATAACAAATTTCACGGATTTTTTGAGATTCGTGAAATTACATGTAATTCTGCGAACTTCCAGACACAGGTCATTCGCGAAATTTATTATCCTCAAAATAAACCCACTATACGGTATACTTATACTCAATATGTCTGAGTAATACTTGTATAGATGCTGATATATCCTCTTTCTCAGAGATTTAATTACTGAGGATGCATGTTTCAGAGGGCAATAGCTAAAATACATTTAGTGTTAAAAGAAGAGTATTGTTATATAGGCGGTAGCCTATATTATGTAGGATTGACATGCCACTGCATTAGCTATATCTAATGTAACATGTAGCTATTCAGTAGTTATAATTGCAAGCATATCCTAACTCATTTACCGTGCATATGCAATGTTTGTGTACAATGTAAATAAACAGCTATTGTTGATAGTACCTTGCATTAAACCCACAATTTCCTGATGCTTAAGACATCCCTGACTACCATAGCTTGATTGAATGCACCTTATGCCTGCTGTGCCTGCTTAGTAGAGCAAAACACTTTGATGATGTAGATTTACATGTATTTCTTCAATTTTGTCACTTTGTAACTATTATGATATTTTGTTAGGTGGAGATGAATAAACTAACTCGTATGCTTCACCTCAAACTAACTGATGGAGGTCTAACTATTAATGGAATGGAATATTCACTGATTAGATCAGTCAATACTGACTCATCACCTGGTATTAAAGTATGTTGCATACAGTTATAATAATTATAATATTTATGTCGAGTGTATTGACATAATAGTGGGCTATAAAAATTTTATGACATGAAACTACAAATGCAATTTTGTAGTTTACATTGGAAGTGTGGGTTGATTTAGGGTTTCCCACTAAGTGAGTGCTTCATGAATTGACAAGCACTATATAAAATGTAGTACAAGGCTTTTACAGCTTTTAAAATTCATATAAAAATTAATTTTGATTGGAATCAACTCAAACTTTCTACACAACATTAAAACATGTTTGTATATCAGAAAAAAATTGTTAAAATGGATAGTTTTCTCCTAGTTGTTTTGGCGAAATTTGGCCAAAGCCGCGTATTGCCTTAATTTGGTCATTGATCCAATTTTGAGCAACTTTAAAATTCATAAAAAATTCAAAATTGATCAGAATCA